CATGAAACCATCCTCTCTTCACAACTTCCTAATTCTCTCTCCTATAAAAACAAAGCTTCCTAATTTCATTCCAAGACTTAAATCTCAAATCTCTTGAAGAGAACTACCTAGTCATCAACGCATGATGTTTGTTAAATAACAAATCCCTCCCCTAAAAACTTTAGTTTCTTGACCATATTACTCTTTCTCTTTCTTGTTATTAGTTTTGAGTTTTCTTGAAACTTATCAAAAATGGATCTTTTTCAAAACCCATCTTCTCAAAAACCAAACAGAATGGAAACATCTATATGGGTTGCAAAATTTGTGCTCATGTCCATGGGAATCATCTCAATTCCTGTTCTGTTGAAAGTTGTAATAATCCCATACACATTTGATCTTGTTCTATCAACTCTTCCTCAACTTTGGTTCTCAATAAAAAGATGGTTAACACTTCCTTTTCTTTATATTGTTGTTAACTTCATCATCATCACCATTGCTGCTTCTTCAAGCTTTTCTGATCCCAAACACAAAACAACAACAACCATTTTAGAAGCTACCACCAACCCAGTTGAGCTAGAAGACCAAACAAATGAACTACGTGAAGAAGAAAAAGTGGTTGAAGAAGTTGAAGAAGTTGAAGAAGTTGAAGAAATTGAAGAAGATGAGGAAGAGAAAAGGGTTGTTGAAGTTGAAGACTCTGAATTGTTCTGCAACAGATTCATCACTGACCCATCACAGAAAAAATGCAGCAACGATTACTACTTGACGAACTCTAATGATAAAGTTAAAGACTTTGGATTATTCTGCAACAAATTCATCATTGATCCATCATCAAAAAAATGCAGAAACGACTATAACTTGATAGATTCAGATGATAAAGGCGATGGTGATGACAGTTTGGAAGCAACATGGAAAGCTATAATGGAAGGACAAGAAAAAACAATGAAGCCACATCTAAAGAAAAGTGATACTTGGACTGCAAGGATTGTGAAAGCAGAGCCATTTCGTAACAATGGTGGTTTTGATGGTGGTGGTGGTGACGACGATGATGATCCTGTAGCTTGGGCTCAAAGGGAATTGAAAAAGTCAGAAACTTTCAATGATAGAGCTTCTTTGAGGAGAGAAAAATCAATAAGTCCTGAAGAATTGAATAAAAGGGCTGAAGCTTTTATTCAGAAGTTTAATAATCAGATGAAGTTGCAGAGGCTTGAATCTTATCAGCGTTTTATGAAATTGGTCAACCGTGGTGTTTGATGATGATGTGGTTCATGTTAATCTCTCTCTTTTTCACACCAGTCACAGTCAAAATTTAGCAGATAATTTTGATTCTCTGCAAGGATTTTAACCACTTCGAAGGTACATATCCAATCATTCCCTCAATAAAGTGTCAATTCCATGAATTTTGTGGGAATTTTAGTGTCTCCGTTTATATATCTTATAGTATCATACTATTTATTTTATTTTTTTAAAACTCAGTATCTTGTCTTAGAACCGATTAATTAGAGAAAGACCAATCTCATCGTCTATTTACAGAAGTCTTATTTAAAACTAGAGTAAAATTTGATATGGACTTACCTAACATAAACACAAGCATAATGAATAGTATGATCAGTGATTAGTGATTAATCTACTATTCATTATGATGCATAATCATACTATTCATTATGATTAGTGATTAATCTACGCCCAACAACTTAAACTTTGAAATGTTGTCATCTATCAGATGACAACTGTTCATATATACCAAAACTAAATTAGTAATTAGTAATACTAGTAGTTAAATACGCCACTTTCATATGGAATCTTTATATGTATAAATTAAACATAATCAAATGGTTTGTTGAATTTTTTTAACTATATAGTATAACCTTAGAAAGGATTCCTTAAAGCTTCTTTATTTATACAAAAGTGATATTTATATAACAACACTATAACTCCAAAAGTGACTGTGTAATTCTTTAAGCATTAGGCTTTTAACATCTGGCAAAACATAAATAGTAGTTTGTACAATTAAATGAATCTAGCTTTGATTAATCTGTTCCAACTACCAAACAATTGATTGATGTCTAGAAACAAAGTGTAGTCTACATTAGTGCATCTAATAACTAATTGTTTTTTTATAAGCAATTAACAAACACATTTGCTTTGTCGTTTATCTATGTTGACACTTTCTTCTCCTCTTTGCAGGATTTGGTGTGTACATATTTTTGCAACCGAGACTGTGTGAAGAAGCCAGGACAAGTTTCAGACATGGTGGACTTTTTTTTTTTCACATGTTAAGTTTCTAGTGATTTTATGAACATGAGTTAGTATGTGGTTTTTGTTTTGTCTAAGTTATTTACATGTTCTAGTAGCTATTCAGAAGCCTCTACTATTTCTTATGTTACTGATAAGTTTGTATTGATCATGTAGTTATTGTAGACAGCACTATAAATATGAGGATTATTGCTCTCTAATTCAGCTAGAAGTAAGTTGTCTATTGAATCAAGTGCGCATTGTTGCATGCGACCTTGAGTTAATATATGCATGTCGGTTTAATTCAGAGGCCGTCTCAAGTTTTTAGAAGCTCAGTAAAGATGAGTCGAACCAATGCAAAACAAATAAAAATTCTATTAAACCACAATTTAACCGTGATAATATTTTTTAGATTCAATTTAACATTAAAAAAGTTTTATACCTTATACGATTGTTTGTCTTACATACCTTCAAAGACAACGAATAGTTTTTGTTCAACTATGTCAATATCTCTAATGTCACAATTAGTTTAGAGTTCAAAATTGAGGTTAGTATAACAAACTTTAGTAAATACGAATGCAAATGAATATTTTCTGTCAGAGTGGTATATAAAGATCATTATAGATTTGGTAGCCTAGTAGGAGTTGCTGTATCTTCAAGCCTTCATTTTAATTATGATAAGATAACCTATGGTCGGAAAGTGAGTTTTCCTTTTATATGCCACTGGAAATTTAAATAGAAGAGCCCCATGTTTATACTTGTGTTACAAACATTGAGTGGCCCATAACCTTATAAAGATGTAGTAGGACCTTGCAAACTACAAAAACACACTAAATATTTTTTTGAAAAAACATCCTAAATTAATTTTAAAAGCTGCACTTAAAAATTGAATTTTAAGCTTCAAAAATATGTTGGTCAGACCGGAACATTGTTAGTGGAACCAGCTAGTTACAGTTTTGCAATTTATATGAAAGTACTGACATGGCCCCTCTTCCATCTCCTGCCTGCAAAATGCCTTTAATTTCAATTAGAAAAGTTCAGTTCGGCACTTTTACTATAAATACATGGCCTTCCATTTCTTTTTTTATATAAGCATTTGGCCTTACATTTCTATTTCTACCCAATCTTTCTACTTTTGCATGTGGATTTTGCTACCTCCAAAATAGCCATGTATATAGTTCAATAACTAAATATATTTTCTTTAAATTCCAAACAAAAAAAATTGTTTTTAATTAAATATGATATGTGATATATACCAAACAGGACAGCTCAAGACTAGCATAAACTCAATGGAATAAATCATGTCTAATAGTCTTTGGAATAAATCCACAAGGAGAAAACAGCTACAAAATATCAAATAAGAAAAAACCACCGTACACCCTTTTCCATTATGCTCTAACAAAGAGAAAAAACTAAAGTGTGGTAAATCATAATGATAAGTCTCATAAAGCAAACAAATGTACCTCTAATTTATAGTGGCCCCAAAAACAAAGGTCAAGTTGGAGCTTTCATTGACACCAGTTGTCTACGTAATTGTTGCTTATGGTAATAATGATGTCTAAATATTGATTTAGAATAATATGCTAGCTAGATGATCTAATAATAAAACTCTAATGTTTGCCATTATCAATGATAAGTCATTTTCTTATTAACCACTAATGGAAACAACTCACAAAATGCTTGGGCACGTTGTTAATTATGGCACCAAGTATGCTGTGTGGACCTTAAGTTATGGAAGAGGAACAAGTTAAAGCAATGGCTACAAAACACAGCATTCAAAATTGCCTCATATAGATTTCTATATTTTCACTTCTAATAGATGTAACAACAGAAAGTTTCATTATTTGTTGTGCCCATATAGAAAGTTAACTTCCCTCTATCTCTCCGAAAAGCCTAGAATAAATAAAGTGAGAAGTGGAAACAAGTACTGCATATGGAAATAATGCCATACCCCGTACCCATTCCCTCTCACAAGGCAAAACTCGTGAGTTCCAACATTGTTGCAACTTTAAGACAGGATTTAAACACACCACACCACTACTAAAGCTGACAGAGATATGCCACTTCCTCCTAATGCTCTAGTGTATGTGGTGAAACGCATGTAACATAGCCACTTTAGATAGAGGGTGTTTAGTGTCTGACACAGAACACAACATCACACATGAAACTATAATCAAATTATTATTGATGTGAACATGTAAATGTCTGGTGTCTTAACTTAAGTTCTTATGATGAAATTGAAACCATTTGAATTACATGTCAGCCATTGTCAAGACTCTCACATATTGATAGTATTATCATATGTTTATAACTAGAGTCAATCTAAACTTTACAAATCGGTTTATTCATGGTGAATAAAAATCAATGCAAATTCTAAGAAGCATCATCTTCTGTCTAATTAAAATTAAAATATCAATGATTTAATAAGGAAAACTAAAATGCACCCCAAAAAAAGTAATGAACTAAAAACATGAGAAGTGTAATTGAACAAACAAGAAGCAAAGAGTTTACAAACAAATTCTCGAATTAAGTGTACAGAGTTTACTAGAACTAAACAAGTTTCTTATTAACAAATTCATAGCAGCAAAGAATCTCACATTTGCAACACAAGATCATGATTCATGACTAACTTTGAAAATTTTGACTAAACCCAAATCACAATCTATATGTATATAAACTGAACGGTATAGTGTTATGAATGAAGAAATACAAGAAGCTCACATGTGTAAAACAGAATGCCTAATGGTGTGAGCTAGCTAGTTGCTAGTTGAACCCATTAGCAAAATCTAAGAGATGCAAATGGGCAAAGACAAAGAAGACAAGGACAAACCTAAGATGACCAATGGCACAACCCAACGACCCTCCCCTGCAGAGGAACAATCACAAGGCTCTTCAACAGGTGCATCAGGAGGTGCATCTGAAGGACTAGTAGAAAACTTATGAGGTGGTGGAGGATTACGCGGAGGAAAACGAGGTGGAGATGGATTTCTCCGAGCACCGCCGGGTTGGTTTTGATTATCATCAGTTCCGTTATTGTTGGATTTGATCGGAATTCGGACTTCGAGTTTGAGGCCCTGTTGGCAATGGCCCAATCTCCCACAGACGAAGTAACGGGTTCCTTCTGAGGTGAGATGGATCACTGTTTCTCCGGTATTGTACGTCCCTATTGCGTTTACTATCGTACACGTGTCGTAGCCTTGATGGTTCACTTCCACCACATCATGTAACGGCGTGTAAGAAAACACTGCCAATACCACACACATGCAACGAAACGTTGGTTATTGCAATTTTAAACTCTATTTTCTAAAATTACCCTTATCTTTTTTCCCGCGTCTTTTTAATATGTTTTTCCTAACAAATCACGTTTTATGAATGAAAAGAAAAAAAAAAAAAAAAAGCAAAACTAAGCGTGATTGTTATGAATGAATTCTCATATTGTTAAAACGAAAATTCAACTAATTAGGAAACGAATATTAAACACCTTAACCTAATTGATACTAGTACTACTTTACCATTAATTAATTAATTAATTTGTGTGCATTTGCTAGATTTAACTAATTTTTAGAAAAAAAATCCCAAAAAACTGAAAGTTTCAGAAAACGCAGAGATTATATTAGATCGTAACCGTTTTGTGATTTTGGATTTGAATGTGTTTAGAACGAAGAGATTGAATTGAGATACGTACCGAGATCATCACCGACATTGAAGGTAGTGGTTGAAGACCACTCGTGCATATTGGAATTGAGATCCCAGCCGGAAGCTCCGCCGACAGTGTGGTTAGCACCACAAACGCCACGGAAGAGAATCGAAGTGACTACGATGACGATTATGGCTTTCATAGCCCAAACTGGCCTCATTTTCCTTCGATCCAAACAGAAAGATTTAACAAAACTCGGAGAGTTAGCTATAGCTTGATCTAATCGAATGAAATTAAGATCGCAACAAATTATATTGGAAATTTGAAATCTAATTCGGATAAAATTAAAACAGAAACTGATTTAGAAACGTAATTAACAAGTTGAAGCGTGATTTGGTTGTTATCTTCAAGAAAACGAAAGGTGAAGTTTGAGTTGCATTGCATACCTATGTATGAATGCTGAGCAGAGAATTCAGAAACTACGTTAGAGTGTGAAGTTGTTGCGGTGGTGGCAGTGATCGGCGAGAGAGATAATCGTTTTCTCGTTTTCGCGCCTTTATACTGAGAGATGTGAGAGTTTTGGTTTCGTTTCCGTTGCGAGGGTAAACTAGTGTGTGGCGCAGTTAGAATGAGGTTCGTGCGCGCGGTGATATATTTTAAAATAGTTTATAATGAAAACTAATTCAGAATTAAATATAAATGCTAGTTCCTATAGATGTTCATAAAATAAAATAAAATAATTCTAAAATCGATATCACATTTAGAAATACTCTGTTTTGGATGAGTGATTTCGGTGATATAGTACTTATATTGGAATTTATATTTGTTTTATTATTGCTTTGAAAGTTTATGAACTATATTTGTATGATTATTAATTGAGGATATGTTTAATAATAATAATAATAATAATAATAATAATAATAATAATAATAATAATCTATAACTATATATAAAAGGGATATAATTTTTTGGTGTGGCATATTTTTGTTCTCTAATTACCCTTCATTAATGCTTAATTTCATAAATTTATTTCATATTTACCTTTTACCTTAATGCTTAATTTCTCACATGATTTTATTTAATAATAATACTAAATAATAACGGTAAAAAAAATAACTTTCCACTATTTCCAATAGTACTTCCTATTATTAACGTTCATACTAACTCCTCTATGCAAAGTGAGTCTCTCTCCAAGTCATTTACAAACTATTTCTCTAAATTTGTCAAACTATTTGCAAATTAATCATATCCCTCTCTCCCTTTCTTTGTCAAACCGTGCATACCTCTATTAGTGTAGATCAAGACTCTCAACAAACTCATTCTGATATTATTTTTGTCAGGTATTTTTTTTTAAAAATATAATTGAATGAATTTATTAAACATTGATCACATCTCCTCCTATTTAAATTTCTATTGGTTTACATTCTTTTATGGACATCATTTCTGAATAATGATGGAAACTAGCATTTACACTTACGTGCGTTTTTTGTTTTGTTTTTAATTGATACGTGGAGGTTTTTTTTGTACTTGATAATTACTGTAACTATGAAATAGTTGCTAAGAAATTGTCGTATAGATTGAAATATTGCATAACTTTTGACGCGCACTTCCAATATAAATTGAAAATTATATGATACAGTGATGTTTTGTAGATTATACTAAAAAATTGTTTGGAAGTTTTCAATGGATATTTGATATATTTGGTGTAATTACTGGCGAAATATGACACTACACATAATTATTAATCCATTACATTGGAAGTCTCTATTAAAGTATAAAATTCATAAACTGCAAGTAATATAAAAGTCATACATGTGTTACAATAGTTTCAAGTAATACCATAGCTATATATATACATGTAATATTAAAAAGAAACCGTTACCGAATATAATGACATTAATGTATGTGTTCCAATGAGTATATATATTAATGAGTAAACATGATATATACATGTAATTTTAAGACATGTAAAAAAATTGAAAAACAGCCAATCACATTAATATAATGAGATTGACACAATTTTAAAACAATAATTAATAAAAAAATAGAAATAATGAAGATATTTATTATATATTTTTTACAGAAAAATCAACATTAATAATAATTATAAATTGTAAAAATAAATAAATAGTAATGGAGCTATTTTGACACATTATTAATTTGATGTTACATTGTATGACTTTGATTTACATGCGGTTTTTTTCCAGATATACACGAGGCAATAAGGGTAGAACGTCGCAACGCCCATGACTGTTAGGCATAGCATCCCAATTCCCCACCCTAATCCTCTGAACACGTATGGAAGACAGAAGATAAAAAAATATCGGTTGTATCATATATAAAATTCAATAACGTGACTTTTGTTTAAGACATGCATGGAAGCTGTTAGAAATGGAAGTTATAATAAAATTACAAATTTTATTATGCATGTTTATCAAAAGAATCATTTATGAATTTTTTTGTCGAAATCTGTAACACTATCTCTCTTATGTCCTCTTTTTTATAAGTCTTCTTATTTTTATAAGTCTTCTTAACTTTTAGACCTTATTCACTTCTTTTATTCAAAAGTTAAAATCAAGGCATGCAATGAAACAATTTGTCACTCACATGTTATTTCCTATTTTACATATTTGAAAGGACTATAGGTGAGGAAACATAAACCACAAATCAAGACATGGTAGTCGAATTTAAAAATACAATTGCAATTATGAAAGAAAGTATAAAGTAACAATAACATATAAAGAGAGGGGGAGAAGAATCAAAGATGCGTTAAAAATGAGAGAGGAGTATTTTGCAAAAAGGATAGAGATGTTAATGGAACACAGGCTATCATGCACTCATTGACACTGCTCAAGAATATATTTTAAACTCCCGTATAGATAATATCCTTTTAGAAATATTTAATATAGATGCACTAACATTATGAGTTAACTAAAATACAAAATAATTTGGAGTAACATAGAAATATTACTATGAACCTACAATGAGCAACTGGAACACACTGAAATATATTAAACTCCCTTTACTGTAACACTATCTTTTCTCATTATTTTTTTAATTAATATATCTTTTTTTATCTATAACTTAAATTAACTCAGTTTTTCATATAATTTTTTTTTGTAGTAGTAGTTTATCATATAATTAAGTTACACTAATTTCATTTCTTGCCCCATTTTATATTTTAATGTTTAGTTAATATGCAATCTTTTCATCCATTTGTCCAACATAATTTATGTTTCTTTTTATTGATTGTCCATTTCTTCTTCTTTTTTATATTTTAGTTTTGATTTATATTTTTAACATGTGTTGTACAAATAATACTTTTTGGTGTAAACTTCTTTTTTCCAAAAACAAATATATTTATTTTAAATCCCGTCTATATTTACCAATATTTTTCAACATAATTAGTGAAATTGTGTTGCTTATAAATTGCATATGTGTTTGGCAGTTACATTAACAAAATGGAAAATAATATCCGTCAGATATCAAGTCAACAACAAAGGGCAAGAAGGGCCGAAAATAAAAGGAAGAGGAGACAAAATATGAACCTCGAACAAAGAGAAAATTATTTATCGATGCGACGTGACAATTATAGGCGGCGAAAAGAGCAAGATAAACAAGCTCAAACATCTCGCACTATGAACAGTCGGAGGAGAGTTCCATTTCAAAATTTTACAAATATGAGATCTCCAATATCACACTTTCAAGGAACTCATGACAATGAAGCCGACTCAAGTAGAATTACACATGTTAATGATGTTGCACTTGGTTGGTGATGATCAATATAGACATTATAATCGTACTTTGTATAATATTGTTTATTTGTCATCTCTCATTTTATGTATTTAAACCTGCAGATCATAATTTCACATCACCTAACCAACGTATCAACAATAGTCACTCTGCTACAGGTATACAAGATATTGTTCTACATATACGAGTAGTAATTTCAACATATATATATATATATATATATATATATATATATATATATATATATATATATATATATATATATATATATATATATATATATATATATATATATATATATATATATATATATATATATATATATATATATATATATATATATATATATATATATATATATATATATGTTAATTATTATTTTTGTATCAGGCGATATGGATGTTGATGAAGCTTTTTAGGATGCAGTAATATCAGATGTTAACATGGAAGTCATAAATGATGGTGCATCATGTCGTCCTCAAGGTATGTTCATAAACATTTTTCTGCCAAATAATGTAGCTTATACTCAAGTGACATAAAACTGAAAATTATGCACCGCATATTCTAAAGATAAAAAAGGGTGCACCATTGATGTTGTTGCGAAATCTAGATCCTAGATATGGACTGTGTAATGGGACGCGGTTATTATGTCATGGGTTATATATGAATATGTTGGATGTGGAAATATTGATAGGAAACAACGCATGAAGACGAGCTTTTTTGCCCAGAATTAAAATAAAAACATCGGTCAGTGATGGGTTGCCTTTGTCCTTAGTAGAAAGCAGTTTCATGTGCGACTAAGTTAAAATAAATAAGTCATAAGGACAAACTATCCCAAATGTTGGTATATATCTTCCACGACATGTTTTCAGTCATGGACAGTTATATGTGGGTTTATCCAGAGGTGTTTCACAGACTACAACAAAAATTTTATCCAAGGAAGGAAAATTGGAAGGATAAGATGGTGACTACACAAAAAATATAGTCTTTAAATAAATTCTTTTATCGCACTCGCAGGTATCATTACGTGCATTAAATAAATAATCTCACACATCGATTCCCATTTGTACACGAAATACCAATATTATATTGTATTCTTTATATGATAAAACTAAGTATAACTAAGTATAAAATTGTGTGGCTTTGATATACAGCCAAACTAGAACACAATGAAGTCTTCCAATTATGTAAGGAGCTGAGACGGAAGAATGTTGAAACTTGCTTCGACATAAAGGTAAGCTATACTTAATCCTTTATTTTATGCTTTTAATTATAATCAATCAATTGGATCATACTTATTCTCACTATTCTTATACGGAATAAATTTTAGATGGGGGACTTTAAAGATAAATGGAACACATGGAAGGATGAACAAACAATTTCATCTATCGGCAAACTAGACAATAAGGTGCATTTACCTTTTTCGCAACATGTATAAAAAAATATGTTTGTTGCATTTTTACCACT